CATTCAACATTCATCCATAGGCCTGCTGCAATGCCTGACTATACTGTCGACTTTCCCAACGAATTTCAAATTTTTTAAAGACCTTATTTGGTAGTTTCTCGCAAGTTAGACTATGTATCTAAAAACATATGAATCCGCGGTCACTGTTTGCTGTAGTGGGGGTACATCAATCTGGTATACATTTATTTGTTTTCAGCTCGGGGAGTAGGAGACTGAGCGCTCTGAGTGGGGCTGGGTTGCTGCTAATGATGGGCATCTGCTGCTCTGTCTCTGGAGCCTGAAGAGTGAAAGCAGCGCCCTCTAGTGCTCAAGTGGGTTACAGACAACTCCACAGCCCTGATTGCAAAATGGCAATTTGCTTCTCCCCAGTGCTCTTTGGCTGCATTTGCACAGGCAGCTCAATTCTGATCTTTATTCCACGAATTGGTCTTTTGTCCAATCACATCAGATATTTTCACATCAGCTCTTTTTCAGAGTTGATCTGATTGGTCAAAAGGACAATTAGGGAAAAAAATATCTGAATTGGGCTGCCTGTGTAAACACAGACTTTATGAACTCTGCATAGTCATCAAACGAGCAAAATAACAATATAGGAATAAGGTGGAATCATATTACACAGGCTCTGACGCCACCGCATGTGGCAGGGGCTACAGTCCATTATGGATTACAAAGGAAGACCCAGTTGTGATCTGCCCAACCATGCCACTCTACCAGACAAACTCAATGCATTTTATGCACGCTTCAACAATAACATCGTGCCGGGTGTGAGGGCCGCCACCGACCCAGAAGATTGGGTGAATTCACGTGAGTAAGGTCAACACCAGCAAGGCCGCGGGGCCCAACGGTATTCCAGGGTGCATTCTTAGAGCATATGCAGAACAGTTGCCAAGCATATTCACGGTAATTTAACCTCTCTTTGTCCCAGTCTGTAATCGCCACATTTTAAGATGACCACCATCATTCCTGTTCACAAGAACTCTAAGGCTTCATGCCAATCATGAAGTGCTTTGTGAGGCTGGTTATGGCACACATCAACTCTATCATCCCAGACACCCTAGACCCACTCCAATTTGCATACCACCCCAACAGATCCATAGACGACACAAACTCAAATGCACTCCACACTGGCCTCACCCACCTAGATAAAAATGAATACCTATGTAATGAACAGAATGCTGTTCATTGACTACAGCTCAGTGTTCAACACCAAATGTCCCCTCGAAGCTCGTCATCAAGCTTAGGATGCTGGGACTGAACACCTCCCTCTGCAACTTGATCCCAGACTTCCTGATGGGCCGACCCCAGGTGGTGAGGGTAGGCAACGTTACCTCTGCCACGCTGACCCTCAACACGGGGGCCCCACAGGGGTGTGTGCTTAGTCCCCTCCTGTACTCCGTGTTCACCCACAACTGCATGGCCGCGCACGACTCCAACACCATTATCATGTTTGCTGACGACACAACGGTGGTAGGCCTGAACACCAGTGACGATGAGACAGCCTACAGGGAGGAGGTCAGTGACCTGGCAGTGTGGTGCCGGAACAACAACCTCTCCCTGAATGTCAGTAACACCAAGGAGCTGATCGTAGACTACAGGAAATAGGGAGGGAGAGCACGCCCCTATCCACATTGACGGGGCTGCAGTGGAGTGGGTCGAGAGCTTCAAGTTCCTCTGTGTCCAAATCACTAAGGACTTTAAATGGTCCACACACACTCATACAGTTGAGGTAGAAAAGGTTTGGCATGGGCCCTCAAATCCTCAAAAAGTTATACAGCTGTACCATTGAGAGCATCTTGACTGGCTGTATCACTGCTTGGTATGGAAATAGGATTGCCCTTGATCGCATGGCGCTACAGAGGGTGGTGCGGACAGCCCAGTACATCACTGGGGCCGAGCTCCCTGCCATCCAGGACCTCTATATCAGGCGGTGTGAAAGGAAGGGCCGGAAAATAGTTAGACTCCAGCCACCCAAGCCAGACTGTTCTCTCTGCTCCCGCACGGCAAGCAGTACCGGTGCATAAAGTCTGACACCAACATGCTCCTGAACAGCTTCTATACCCAAGCCATAATGCTCCTAAATAGCTAACTAAATGTCTACACAGACTGAGTTGACCCTTGTATTTGATTTATATTCTCTATGCACACTCACAGGGCCCTACAAACTCACGCACACTGACACTCCAACACGCACACACACACTCACACTCACTCCATAATTTGCTCACACACATAATATGCACATACATATATACTGACTCTACACACATGCACACCCACTCACATACAATTATCATAAGTGCTGCTGCTAATCTGTTTATCATACTGTATATCCTGATGCCTAGTCAACTTACCCCTATACATATCTACCTCTATAACTCCAGTATCTCTGCACATTGTAAATATGGTACAGGAACTGACCCTGTATAGTATGCTTGCTTACTTTCTCCTGTTCTTATTTCTTATTTTTATTTCTCATGTGTTTTTGTTCTACCTTATGCAATACTGAACAAAAATATAAACGCACCATGTTAAGTGTTGGTCTCATGTTTCATGAGCTGAAATAAAAGATCCCAGAAATATTCCATATTGTGACGAGGTGAAATGAAGGAGTCAGGCGCAGGAGGTAAAATGCCGAAGTCCAGAGTTTAATGCGTTCACATATATCAAACGCCCCAAGCGTCAAAAGGAACAAGCTCAAGGGAAAACATCCACCTTGGTATAAATACAATGTTGCGTAGCTCAACCGCGCTAACATGCTCTCACAATCACTCACAAAGACAAGGGGAACAGAGGGAACACTTATACACATACTAATTATGGGAATAAGCACCAGGTGTGTGTGATTGACAAGACATGACAAGTGGAGTGATGAGAATGAGATCGGCAGTAGCTAGTACTCCGGTGACGACGAACGTCGAAGCCTGCCCGAACCAGGGGTGGGGGCAGCCTCGGTGGACAGCATGACACATACACACAAAAAGCTTATTTCTCTCAAATTTTGTGCACAAATGTGTTTACATCCCTGTTAGTGAGCATTTCTCCTTTGCCTAGATAATCCATCCACCTGACAGGTGTGGCATATCAAGAAGCTGATTAAACAGCATGCTCATTACACAGGTGCACCTTGTGCTGGGGACAATAAAAGGCCACTATAAAATGTGCAGTTTTGTCACAACACAATGCCACAGATGTGTCAAGTTTTGAGGGAGTGTGCAATTGGCATGCTGACTGCAGGAATGTCCACCAGAGCTGTTGCCAGAGAATTTGGCAGTATGTCCAAACGGCCTCACAACCGCAGACCACGTGTAACCATGCCAGCCCAGGAGCTCCACATCCGGCTTCTTCACCTGCGGGATCGGCTGAGACCAGCCACCCAGATATCTGATGAAACTGAGGAGTATTTCTGTCTGTAATAAAGCCCTTTTATGGAAAAAAAACGAATTATGATTGGCTGGGCCAACATGCAACAATTTCAACGATTTTACTGAATTAGTGTTTATATAAGGAAATCAGTCAATTAAAATAAATAAATTAGGCCCTAATCTATGGATTTCACATGACTGGGCAGGGGCCCATGCACCCATGGCTGCGCCCCTGCCCAGTCATGTGAAATCCATAGATTAGGGCCTAATTTATTTATTTCAATTGACTGATTTCCTTATTTAAACACTAATTCAGTAAAATCGTTGAAATTGTTGCATGTTGTGTTTATATTTTTGTTCAGTATATTTTCAGTATAACATTGTTATTGGTTACTACATTGTTGGGTTTAGAGCTTGCAAGAAAGACATTTCACTGTACTTGTGCATGTGACATTAAAACTTGAATAATTGCAGTGTACTTTAGGTAAATAAACTCCCAATAATCCATTAATTTAACATAAAATATGCCAAATCAGTGTGCATCTTAAAGTGGATCCCTCTCACGTCCTCTGCATTCCTTCATCTGTACTGATCGAAAATAACTGGGCAGTTGAAAGCAAATCCCTTGTAAAGATCCACCACATTGCTTTCACCTGTCCTGTTCTTCTAATTCGTGCAGATGAGGGAGACGAGACGAGGGATGAAGGCCCAACTATTGAGATGCACCAAATATTACCTATTGTATTGACAAGCGTGGAGCGGCCGCTCTAACAAAGGAAATACATGTCTTCAATTAGGGGGCTCGATTAATCTCGCCCGGGCGCCCGTGCAGACGTGTTTCGCACAGGCTGTAAGTTTATTGCATTCGATTTGGAACCGGGCTGCCTCCCGGGCGTGATCCAGGTGTGGTGCCAACTCTGTCCGACGGCGAAGTCGGCTCAAAACATTAGTGACGTAATTAAGCACGTGTAGTAATGAGTAGGATACTGCGTTTTCACACGCAAAAGTGATTGCTTTTGATAAAAAACCTTTTATCTGCCTTCCCAATTAAAACTAGTTTGAAAATTAAAACATTTATTTTATGGAAAAGAGATGTATGTTTCTGGACGATGCACCATGTCGCCAACATGACAGAGAGGCGCAGATTACTGTTCGATTTGAGAAGACCATTCCTCCTTCATCGCTTTCGCCAGATGACGTAACGGGCCATTGCCACGTGTAGCCTACCCCAGCCAGATTAATCGAGCCCCCTCAATGATTGAAGGCAGGCGAGATCAGGTGGGACCATTCTAGCCAATGACAGGGCAGATACGAGTCGTTTTAATCAAAATTGCCAGAATGCCACGTGCGTCCACTTATATCAGTACATTTGTAACAGCCTAAACTTCTATTTGATCAAATAAGCCTCACGTAATTCTACTCTCATAGACCTCCATACAAAAGACTTTGGGCAGAATAAATCCTCTCGCTTCGCCTATTCTTCTCTGGATGCACCCACCCTGATTAGAAGTGTCAAAGAACACTTGTAGATTTCTCGGTCCATCACACCTCCACATTTGATTATCCCAACCTCAATCTGGTCACGGCTTCTTGCCAGACTACAGTTGACCTGGAGGAGAGGCCTGGGCAGGTGTTGAGATGGACAGCGCTGGCGGGTTTGAAGATATGGAACTGAGAGAGGCGCATAGAGAATACCTGGACTTTCTGGATGACGATGTAAGTACAGAGGAGAATAATGTGTGAAATACAAATCAATCAAAAGTGCAGATATTAATGTGAGGCAATGTAAGATGTGTTGCTTATTTTTGTTCTAGCAAGACCAAGGAGTTTATCATGAGAGGGTCAGAAGTATGGTGTCAGAAAACCGGTGCCGCCTCATCGTGAACATCAACGACCTGAGAAGGAGGAACGAGAAGCGGGCCAAAGCGTGAGTAAAGATCATGATTTTCAGGTCGGAGCTCTAGAAAGAGGCCCGAGTTCCCGAGTTGGAATTCCGAGTTGAATGACAGTTCAAAATGCTTTTTCCCAGTCGGAACTCGTTTTTTTTCAGAGTTCCCAGTTGTCTTTAACGCACTGAAGTCGGAAATCTGAGATTTCAGAGAACCGTATTTTTTTTTATGGGGCATTAATGCTCAGGGGGAGACTGCAGGCCATTTATTCCCTTTGAGTCAGGAACCGAAACTCAGCCTTAGTGATCCGTGAATGCGTTGTATGCAGCATTCGGTCACATGACAGCTCGATCAGCTGTTCGATTTAATTTACCGGCATGTCAACTGAGCCAGGGATCACAGTCAAACGGATTGGGAAGTAGGTCCCAAAGTGCTCTTCCAACCGTTGGAGGTGAGCAATCATCACTCGCGTGGGACACTTACTGATGCTGTTTTCTGTTAGAAACATGCACAGCCGAGGGAAATGGGCATGGTAAGCTTTTGAAAGACTCTCCAATAATAATTTCCACTGACTTGGTCGCTCGTCTGTAGAAGGTTTTGTATTTCCCCTACATGCTTGCTCCAGTAAATTCAGTTTCTCAAATACAATGCCTTTGAAAAAGTACACTGAACAAAAATATAAACGCAACATGTAAAGTGTATTTTTTTTTCCATATGCACAAAAAGCTTGTTTCTCTCAAATTCTGTGCACAAATGTGTTTACATCCCTGTTAGTGAGTATTTCTCCTTTGCCAAGATAATCCATCCACCTGACAGGTGTGGCATATCAAGAAGCTGATTAAACAGCATGATCATTACACAGGTGCACCTTGTGCTGGGGACAATATAAGGCCACTAAAATGTGCAGTTGTCACAACACAATGCCACAGATATCTCAAATTGAGGGAGCATGCAATTGGCATGCTGACTGCAGGAATGTCCAACAGAGTTGTTACCAGATAATTAAAATGTTAATTTCTCTACCATAAGCCACCTCCGTCATTTTAGAGAATTTGGAAGTGCGTCCAACCGGCCTCAGAACCGCAGACCATGTGTAACCATGCCAGCCCAGGACCTCCACACCCTGTGCTGGGGACAATAAAAGGCTACTCTAAAATGTGCAGTTTTGGGACCCATGTCATCCAAAAACACATACTTTTGAATCATCTGTCCACAGAACATTCTTCCAAGAGTCTTAATGATCATCCAGGTGCTGTTTGCCGAACTTGAGTCAACTTTGTGGACGTCATGGGTCCCGTTATGCCTGGTGAAAACCAAACACTGCATTCCACAGTAAGAACATCATACCAACGGTCAAGCGTGGTGGTAGTGTGATGGTTTGGGGATGCTTTGCTGCCTCAGGACCTGGATGACTTGCCTTAATAGAAGGAACCATGAATTCTGCATCAGAATTATTCTGGAGAATGTCAGGCCATCCGTCTGTACGCTGAAGCGCAGCTGGGTCTTGCAGCAATACAATGATCCAAAACATACAATCAAGTCTACATGAAAATGGCTAAAAAGCAACAGATTTGAAATTTTGGAATGGCCTAACGAGCAGTTCATGCTTGAAAACCTACAAATGTTGCTTAGTTACAGCAGTTCTGCATGAAAGTGGGCCAAAATTCCTCCACAGCGTCATGAGACTGAACAACAACTACAGGAAGCATTTGGTTGGAGCCATTGCAGCTAAAGGTGGCACAACCAGTTATTGAGTGTAAGGGGGCAATAACTTTTTCCACACAGGGCAATTGGGTGTTGCAGAACTTTGTTTATGAAATAAGTATGTAATTGTTGTAGTATTTGTTCACTCAGGTTCCCTTTATCTAATATTAGGTTTTGGTTGAAGATCTGATAACATTCAGTATCAAAAATATGCAAAAGTAGAGAAAGTTAGAAAGGGGGCAAATAATTTCACGGCACTGTATGTCTGTTACATAGGCAAGTATACATTTTATTGTCAATACAAAGTCAACCAAGTCTTTTTTTATACCTCCTTTGTGAATGACAACAGTTCCCCTCTCAATGTGAATAATCTGTCCAACACTCCTCGATAACCACCAAGTGTGAAATATACTGAACAAAAATATAAACGCAACAATTTCAATGATTTGACTGAGTTACAGTTCATATGACACCAGTCAATTGAAATAAATGTATTAGGCCCTAATCTATTTATTTCACATGACTGGGCAGGGGCGCAGCCATGGGTGGGCTAGGCCCAGCCAGTCAGAATGAGTTATTCCCCACAAAAGGGCTTTATTACAGACAGAAATACTCCTCAGTTTCATCAGCTGTCCGGGTGGCTGGTCTCAGACGATCCCGCAGGTGAGGAACCAGATGTGGAGGTCCTGGGCTGGCATGGTTACACATGGTCTGAGGCCGGTTGGACGCACTTCCAAATTCTCTAAAATGACGGAGGTGGCTTATGGTAGAGAAATTAACATTTTAATTATCTGGTAACAACTCTGTTGGAAATTCCTGCAGTCAGCATGCCAATTGCATGCTCCCTCAATTTGAGATATCTGTGGCATTGTGTTGTGACAACTGCACATTTTAGTGGCCTTATATTGTCCCCAGCACAAGGTGCACCTGTGTAATGATAATGCTGTTTAATCAGCTTCTTGATATGCCACACCTGTCAGGTGGATGGATTATCTAGGCAAAGGAGAAATGCTCACTAACAGGTTTATAAACACATTTGTGCACAAAATCAGAGAGATAAGCTTTTTGTGCATATGGAACATTTCTGGCATCATTTATTTCAGCTTATGGACCAACACTTTATGTTTTATTTTTGTTCAGTAAAGAACATTGTCATGTTCTGATTCCATATCGCCACATAGTTTTGCAAACAGGCATGTGCGCAGTGGATGTGGGTGCATGCTCAGCCCCCTCCTGTACTCCCTGTTCACCCATGACTGCGTGGCCACGCACGCCTCCAACTCAATCATCAAGTTTGCGGACGACACAACAGTAGTAGGCTTGATTACCAACAATGACGAGACCACCTACAGAGAGGAGGTGAAGGCCCTTGGAGTTTGGTGCCAGGAAAATAACCTCTCCCTCAATGTCGACAAAACAAAGGAGCTGATCGTGGACTTCAGGAAACAGCAGAGGGAGCACGCCCCTATCCACTTCGACAGGACCGCTGTGGAGCAGGTGGAAAGCTTCAAGTTCCTTGGCGTACACATCACTGACTATTTGAAATGGTCCACCCACACAGTGTGGTGATGAAGGTGCAACAGCGCCTCTTCAACCTCAGGAGGCTGAAGAAATTGGCTTGTCACCTAAAACCCTCACAAACTTTTACAGATACACAATTGAGAGCATCCTGTCGAGCTGTAACACCACCTGGTACGGCAACTTCACCGCCCGCAACCGCATGGCTCTCCAGAGGATGGCGCGGTCTGCCTAACTCATCACTGGGGGTAAACTACCTGCCCTCCAGGACACCTACAGCACCCGATGTCACAGGAAGGCCAAAAAGATCAAGGACAACCACCCGAGCCACTGCCTGTTCACCCTGCTATCATCCAGAAGGCGAGTTCAGTACAGGTGCATAAAAGCTGGGACCGAGAGACTGTAAAACAACTTCTGTTAAATAGCCACCACTAGGCGGCTTCCACCCGGTTACGTAACCCTGCATCTTAGAGGCTGCTGCCCCATAGACTTGAAATCAATGGCCACTTTTTAATAATGTAACACTAGTCACACTAATGTTTACATATTTTTGCTTTACTCATCTCATATGTATCTGTATTCTAGTCTATGCCACTCCGACATTGCTCATCCTAATATTTCTATACTCCTTAATTCCATTCTTTTACTTTTAGGTTGTGTGTATTGTTAGATATACTGCACTGTTGGTGCTAGAAACACAACCATTTCGCTCTACACCCGCAATAACATCTGCATGTGACACATAACATTTGGTTTGATGTAGTTAACAATCAAAGTTACCTGCTGCATTATATCTCAGTTCTGTCCTCCGCTCGTTTGCCACCAGTTGCTCTCGGTGTATCATACAATGTGTCTATATGGCAGAGGGAGACCCATTCATAACTAGAGTGCAGAGGCCTGCCCGCCATAGATGGCGCTTCATCTGTGCAAAAGCCCACCATTCGATCCCATGGAATCTGTTTTTCGTCAATATAGCCACGCAGCACTCTGAACATCCCATCTCATGTGCCGTTCCATGCTTGTGAAACAGAGCAATATGTCCTCGTGAATAGCATCCCCGGACATGTTTAGCGAACAAAAGTTAATGCATGGGCATGTCGGCCCTCACAGCTAACATCCATTTGGAGAGCATAAGCTGGGGAGTTTGAGGCGTTCAGTCAGTTTTCTCTTGATTCTCAGAATTTATGCTATTGCTAGCAAAGGTATTAATGTGAGTTTCTGTGCCTCTGCCTCCCCACACATTGTTTTCACCGTATCAATTGCGGCCGGTAATATGAAAGTCTCTTCAATAGTGTGTCATAGCGTAGCGGGCCTAGCCATTCACCGTGGGAATGATTCAAGTGCAACAGTGAAATGCGGCCTTTTCCCATGATCTAAGGGCGCTCTCTGGTTTGATTTTTATGATTTTAATATCGATTTTTAAGGTTAACCACAATATATGTATATTTTTTGGGGAGGGGTTTGAAAATTCTCCCGTAACCCCATTTTCATATCAGGCGAACCCACATGGGGCCGCGACCCCTAGTATGGGAACCGCTGAGTAACTGAATTTCTTCACTTCATTTTTCTTCTCAATTCATGCACCTTGTTGGAGAGTGAGGTAGCGGCAGTGTTCCATTCCTTTTATTGATCCTTGAGTGTCAAAGGCCAAGTGGTGGATAAAATGTAGTAAATGGTTTGAGGCCTGTTCCTTTATCATTTTGTTTTAAAATATATTTTGTTTATAAAATGTACTTTTAAATACCCTTTTCAGCTTGCTGAAAGACTGCTTCAGTGAACTTGTTGCTTTCCAAAGAGCTCTGAAGGACTTGGTTGCGTCCATCGATGCAACCTATGCCAAGCAGTTTGAGGAGTTCCATGTGGGGTTCGAGGGCAGCTTCGGAACCAAGCACGTGACCCCTCGAACCCTCGCAGCGCGATATCTCGGAAACCTGGTTTGTGTGGAAGGAATCGTTACCAAGTGTAAGTGTATATAATGCGTTTCAATTGATAATTTCCAGTTTTATTCAGATTCGATTGATAATTCTTTACGACAAAACGCCTTTCTTGGTTCCTCCTTATTATAATTACGCTACTACTGTAATTCCATTCAACTGATAGTTATTTTGAGTAGCCTAACATCCTGCATGTGTTTCTGTCATTGTGGTAGGTTCTCTGGTGAGGCCTAAGATCACCCGTAGTGTCCACTACTGTCCAGCCACTAAGAAGACCTTGGAGAGGAAATACACTGACCTGACCTCTCTGGACGCATTCCCTTCCAGCGCCATTTACCCTACCAAGGTGTGTAACTATATGTGCAATTTTTAATGGTGCTCTCCCTCCCCATGCTCCCCGATCTACAACATTCCTGCTACAGATATCACACTCCTTTACCACCTCTCTCCCTGATCTACAGGATGAGGAGAACAACCCCTTGGAGACAGAGTTTGGGCTATGTGCCTATAAGGACCACCAGACCCTGACCATCCAGGAGATGCCAGAGAAGGCCCCTGCCGGACAGCTCCCCCGCTCTGTGGACATCATCGCTAACGACGACCTGGTCGACACGGTCAAACCGGGCGACCGCGTTCAGATGGTGGGGATCTACCGCTGTCTGCCAGCCAAACAGGGAGGCTTCACCTCTGGTACCTTCAGGTGGGTGGGTGTGGGAACGGGTCTATTTGTGTTCTGCTTCCAAGTAGTTTTGATAAAGGGTTGGGGTCAACTCCATTTTAAATTCAGGAAGTAAATGAAAATTCCTATTGCTTTTCAATGAGGATAATTTTTATTTTAGTGAACTCAATGAACTCAACCTTCTATTGGTCTAATGCAGGACAATTCTGCTGGCCAATCACGTGAAGAGGATGAGTAAAGAAATCGTGCCAACCTTTTCCGCCGAGGATATTAATAAAATCAAGAAGTTCTCTAAAGGCCATTCTAAAGTAAGTCACTCATTCTAAATAGTCTTGCATTGAACTCTACTACAGTATGTTGTGGTGGAGCATTTAAATTACGACGAAGTTGTTATATACTGTACAATCAGACGACCGTATCGCTTCTTGGCATACAAACTGTCACATCACATTTGGTATATACCAGTTGGATCATTTGATACCAATGCTCTTCAATCATACACATGAATGTCAGTTTCCTTTGTCATGATTGTTTTCCAGGATGTGTTTGAGCATCTGAGCCACTCGCTGGCTCCCAGTATACATGGCCATGAGTACATAAAGAAGGCCATTCTGTGTCTGCTGCTGGGGGGCAACGAGACCAACCTGGAGAACGGTACACGTATCCGTGGAGACATCAACATACTGCTAATAGGTCAGTCATATTTACATTTTTAGTCATTTAGCAGATGCTCTTATCCGACTTATAGTTAGTGAATGCATACATGTTTTGTTTTTTTGTCAACCACTACTATTGATGGGTTGTAGTCATTAGCAAGACTTTGGTGGTCTTCCTCTATGGCTGTCCTGATTCTCCACCCTTCTCTGCAAGTGTATACCTGCACACTTCACCTCATGGGTCTAACAACGGTGGGAACTCCCTCTAGCCAATGCTAACACCAATCCAATGCTTTCAAATCCATGATGGGAAGTGTGCAAGTGCACACTTTGTACAAAGGGTGGCAAATCTGGATGTAGCCTAACATTGAACTCAATGTGTGGCCTTCTCTGTGTGGTCTCTCTAACCTGGTTGGTCTTTCTCTGGTCAGGTGACCCGTCGACGGCTAAGTCCCAGCTGCTGCGCTACGTTCTGCACACTGCTCCGCGGGCCATACCAACTACAGGACGGGGGTCAACTGGCGTGGGGCTGACCGCTGCCGTCACCACAGACCAGGAGACTGGTATGGAACACTTTATGGACACCATTTTGAATGATTTATTTGTATGCATGCTGTTATTCCCTCTCCATCCACCTTCATACAAATGGAGTTCCCTCTGAGAAAAATACAATTCTTGAAGCCTATACTCCTTCCTCTTCCACCTATTTACCATAATTATTATCCCACTCTGGATACCACTCACACTCCCCCCTATGCACACGCCTCTGTTCATACCCCTTTCTCACTGTCTCCCTTCCTCTCCAGGTGAGCGGCGGCTGGAGGCTGGGGCCATGGTACTGGCAGACAGAGGAGTGGTGTGCATCGACGAGTTTGACAAGATGTCCGATATGGACCGCACAGCCATCCACGAGGTGATGGAACAGGGCCGTGTCACCATCGCTAAGGCTGGCATAATGGCCAGGCTCAACGCTCGCTGCAGTGTGCTAGCTGCCGCTAACCCAGTCTACGGCAGGGTGAGACGCGCTAACTTACTCTTTGTAAGGGGGAGACGCGGTAATGCTAACCCAGTCTGTCTAATCTAACTGCTAAGACCATGTACAGTGCTGTGAAAATGTATTTTCTGTACTGCATATTTTTGATACTGAATGTTGTCAGATCTTCAACCAAAACCTAATATTAGATAAAGGGAACCTGAGTGAACATAACACAATTACATACTTATTTCATAAAGTTCTGCAACACCCAATTGCCCTGTGTGGGAAAAGTTAATGCCCCCTTACACTCAATAACTGGTTGTGCCACCTTTAGCTGCAATGGCTCCAACCAAATGCTTCCTGTAGTTGTTCAGTCTCATGTCGTTGTGGAGGAATTTTGTCCCACTCTTTTATGCAGAACTGCTGTAACTCAGCAACATTTGTGGGTTCAAGTATGAACTGCTTGTTTTAAGTCCTGCCACAACATCTCAATTGGGATTAAGTCTGGACTTTGACTAGGCCGTTCCAAAACTTCAAATGTGTTGCTTTTTAGCCATTTTTCATGTAGACTTGATTGTGTGTTTTGGATCATTGTCTTGCTGCATGACCCAGCTGCGCTTCAGCTCACATGATAGAGAGCATAATTCATGGTTCCTTCTATTAAGGCAAGTCGTCCAGGTCCTGAGTCAGCAAAGCATCCCCAAACATCACAATACCACCACCATGCTTGACCGTTGGTATGAGGTTCTTACTGTGGAATGCAATGTTTGGTTTTCGCCAGTCATAATGGGACCCATGTCATCCAAAAAGTCATAATTTTGACTCATCTGTCCATAGAACATTCTTCCATGAGTCTTGATGATCAATCCAGGTGCTTTTTGGCAAACGTGAGTCAACTTTTTGGACAACATGTGTCCCATTATGCCTGATAAAAACCAAACACTGCATTCCACAGTAAGAACCTCATACCAACAGTCAAGCATGGTGGTGATGGTTTGGGGATGCTTTGCTGACTCAGGACCTGGACGACTTGCCTTAATAGAAGGAACCATGAATTCTGCTCTGTATCAGAGAATTCTACAGGAGAATGTCAGGCCATCCGTCTGTGAGCTGAAGTGCAGCTGGGTCATGCAGCAAGACAATGATCCAAAACACACAATCAAGTCTACATGAAAATGGTTAAAAAGCAACAAATGTGAAGTTTTGGAATTGCGTAGTCAAAGTGGAGTCCTAATCCCAATTGCGATGTTGTGGCAGGACTGGACACGAGCAGTTCTTGCTCAAAAACACACGTCACTGATTTAAAGCAGTTCTGCATGCAAGAGTGGGCCAAAATTCCTCCACAGCGATGTGAGACTAACAACTACAGGAAGCATTTGGTTGCAGTCATTGCAGCTAATGGTGGAAAAACCAGTTATTGAGTGTAAGGGGGCAATTACTACTTCACACAGGGGAATAGGGGGTGCATAACTTTGTTAATTAAATAAAATAAGTATCTACATTTTTATTTTTAAACTCTGGTTCCCTTTATCTAATATTAGGTTTAGGTTGAAGATCTGATAATGTTCAGTATCAAAAATAGAGAATCAGAAGGGGGGCAAATACTCTTTCACGGTACTGTATAACAGGGTGTCACCGCTACTAGCTAATAAGCCTCCATCTCAATAACTGGTATACATGGACTTTCCTCACAGCTTTATTTCTGCACCTTCATCGGGATCGACCTGGACAAAGCTTTGCATAGATTCGCCAATCTTGATCACATAAGTAGTTATTTGGGATGCAAGTTAATTTGTACGTCAGTGATTCTTTGCGCATGTCAATCCCTTTTTAACACACTGTTCATGTCTCTGTGACAACTATGTACATTATCTCTTACCTTTCCTTACAGTACGACCAGTATAAGACTCCCATGGAGAACATCGGTCTGCAGGACTCTCTGTTGTCTCGGTTCGACCTGCTCTTCATTGTTCTGGACCAGATGGATGCAGACAGTGACAGGAAGGTCTCGGAGCATGTTCTACGCATGCACCGCTACAGAGCACCAGGGGAGCAGGAGGGAACAGGTTGGGCACACTACTGACTAAATATACACACATGCAAACACACCACACACAGCTTCTCATTCAAAATATCAAATAATTTTTAGCGTCAAACCAAACAAGTAGACATGATTGCTGATTCAGTACCTGGCATGTGTGCAGAGGTTTTTGAATGACACTTTTGATTGCTCTGTATCTGATCTGTTGTTTGATGCCCCTAAAGCCATGCCCATGGGCAGCACTGTGGATGTGTTCGCCACGGAGGACCCCAACATCACAGAGTCAGCCGAACAGGAACTCCAGATCTACGAGAAGAAGGACAATATCCTGCATGGACACCGCAATAAAAAGTACCCAGCAAAACGTCCATTATATTCATTGTTAAAAAAAAATAAACCCAACAAAACCTGATTTTAAAGTTGCTGTATTAATCACTCGTAATACCATACAAACTGTATACACATTATGTTCTTTCTGACAGAATCCATGGCTTTCTGTGTTAACCCCTGTCATCCTCCTCCAGGGAGAAAGTAGTTACCATGGAGTTTATCAGGAAGTACATCCACGTGGCTAAACTGGTGAAACCTGTTCTAACCCAGGAGGCCTCAGACCACATAGCAGAGGAGTACTCCAAGCTCCGCAGCCATGACCAAGTCAACTCTGAATCAGCCAGGGTCGGTAGTACTTACATACTTTTGGTGATATAGTGTATGTGGTGGACACCTGCTCGTCAAACATCTCATTCCAAAATCATGGGCATTAATATGGAGTTGGCCCCCCCTTTTCTGCTATAACAGCCTCCACTCTTCTGGGAAGGCTTTCCACTAGATATTGGAACATTGCTGCGGGGACTTGCTTCCATTTTGCCACGGGCATTAGTGAGGTCAGGCACTGATGTTGGGCGATTAGGCCTGGCTCGCAGTCAGCATTCAAATTCGTCCCAAAGGTGTTCGATGGGGTTTAGGTCGGGGCTCTGCATGGCAGTCAAGTTCTTCCACACCCATCTTGACAAACCATTTCTGTATGGACCTCGCTTTGTGCACGGGGGCATTGTCATACTGGAACAGGAAAGGGCCTTCCCCAAACTGCTGCCACAAAGTTGGAAGCACAGAATCGTCTAGAATGTAATTGTACGCTGTAGCATTAAGATTTCCCTTCACTGGAACTAAGGGGCCTAGCCCGAACCATGAAAAACAGCCCCAGACCATTATTCCTCCTCCACTGAACTTTACAGTTGGCACTATGCATTTGGGCAGGTAGCGTTCTCCTAGCATCCGCCAAACCCAGATTTGTCCGTCGGACTGCCAGATGGTGAAGCGTGATTAATTACTCCAGAGAACGTGTTTCCACTGCGCCAGAGTCCAATGGCGGCAAGCTTTACACCACTCCAGCTGACACTTGGCATTGAGCATGGTGATCTTAGGCTTGTCGGCCATGGAAACCCATTTCGTGAAGCTTCTGACCAACAGTTCTTGTGCTGGCATTGCTTCCAGAGGCAGTTTGGAACGCTGTAGTGAGTGTTTCAACCAAGGACAGCCGATTTTTACACGCTACGTGCTTCAGCACTCAGCGGTCCCATTCTGTGAGCTTGTGTAGCCTACCACTTCGCGGCTGAGCCGTTGTTGCTCAGCGGTTTCCACTTCAAAGTAACCACACTTACAGTTGACCGGGGCAGCTCTAGCAGGGCATAAATTTGGCGAACTGACTTGTTGGAAAGGTGGCATCCTATGATGGTGCCACATTTGAAAGTCAATGTCCTCTTCAGTAAGGCCATTCTACTGACAATGTTTGTCTATGGGGATTGCATGGCTTTTTTTCTTTTTTTCTTTTTCATACACCTGTCAGCAACAGGTGTGGCTGTAATGGCCGAATCCACTAATTTGAAGGGGTGTCCACATACATGCAAAAGTATGTATGGAATCTCTCATCCAGCTCTTTACTGGAGTCTAAAAGCCGTTTTGGCATTATGGAATAATTTTATTTATCATTGCATTGGGAATCCTTTCCTGATTGTTATACCCAGTTTACAATCCTGTATGTACAATAATCGATTACCTGTATCATTAATCATGAAAACATGCACTATTGGTTTGGGAATGTCTGCTTCAAATAGACATTGTTGTACTTTGTGTTTGATGGGTTGTCTTCCATACAGACGATGCCGGTGACAGCCCGAGCGCTGGAGACAATGATACGATTGTCCACGGCCCACGCCAAAGCCCGCAAGACCACAGACTTTGTTGACGCAGAGGCTGCCCTGGAGCTCATGCAGTTCGCCTACTTTAAAAAGGTAATGCTGGGATCAAACAGTTTGATACTGGATACATTCCTTCATTGTAATTTGGAGACAAAAGGCTTATAACTATATGGATAGGTTTTAATTCATGTTGCTATGTGTACTGTCCTGTCTACATGTAGATTCTGGAGAAGAAGAGGAAGGTTGTAGAGGACGACATGGATGTGAGCCAGAGCCAATCACAGAGCCAGAGCCAAGAGTTGGCCAGTCAGAGGACGAGCACCAGGTCTGAGCCCGTATTCAAAAAGTAGCTCTGACTAGGAATGCTGGTTATAGGATCAGTTCAGCATTTTGGATCATAATGAAAAAGATTATAATATATTTTATATAGCTCTTTTTACATTACATTACATTACCATTACAAGAATCTCAGATGCTTTAATAAAAACAAACTAAATCAAATCTAGGGTTCTGGCAGTTATTGGACGATTGTCTTCCACAGCTTCAGATGATGGGGTGAGGCAGTTCTAATATATGCACAAGGGAACCTGATCCCAGATGAGCTCTCTTACTGAGACATGTTTTGAATACAGGCCCTGATCTCAAGGATGCAGGGACTGGAGAGACTGGTTGCGTCGAAGGCTAGGTCTGAATAATCTTAAATGCCTGCCTTGTCTCCTTTCTTTGATGACCAGGAAGCGTACCGGTGTGGGTAAGGAAAACATGGACGTGACAGATGCTGGGGCTGACTCTGACCCTTATGAGTTTGAGGACGAGGAACACAGTAAGACGCGCGCACACACACACACACCGTGCACATACAAGGTCTGTCTGTACCCCACCTGGTCACCAATATAGCTCAGTTCTTAGGGTTATAAACCATTTCATCTGCCCCATTATAAGAATACTTTACTATTTTGATTAATTAGAATCATACATTTCTCATCCTTCTCTTTCTCCCTCCTAGCCCAGTCCATTCTGAAACCCAAGCCTGCTGCCTCTCAGAGCCTGAAGAAGAAGCCAGGACAGGACATCAGCCAGGACAGGTAAATCTCCCCCTCTACTCCCTCTGTTTCTGTAGCCTTAACTCTACTGGCCCATTGTGGTCACTGAGTACTGCACCATTTATCCACTCTCCAGAGACAGTTAAGGTGGGATGATGTTTATTTGTTTGTGTGTTCTCTGACCCCTCCTGCCCAGGCTGAAGCTGTTTAAGGCTGCTCTGATGAAGGCCTTTCAGACTACACGGTCCCAGTCCGTAGCAGTGACGGAGCTCCTGACGCTGGTCAATAAGACCACACACGGTCAGGACGACCACGAGTTTGACGAGCAGGAGGTCGAGAAGCTGCTGGGGCGCATGCAGGACAACAACCAGGTCATGATGTCAGAGGGCGTGGTCTTCCTCATTTAGAGCTGGGGCAGCCAATCACAAGAGCCAGTCCAAACCTGTCTAGTCTACTCATGGTCATCATGAACTGTCTCTAATAAATGGGTTGAGCATGAAATGTGGTCTGGTGGAGTTTGTTCAAATGTAAATGTGGAGTTATTGAAAGGCCCTCTTGTAAGGGTGGAGTTTATCCAGGAACCAGTGAATGGTAGTAGTTTTAACTGCAAACTGGAGGCAAGACATAATCATTTTTTTATTAGAGAATGTATAAATAGATCAATTTCACAATAACATACAAAATATTTTCCATTGTTGGTCAGGGTTTCTTTTGAAGAGATGGAAGGTCATTGTTAGTCAGGTTTTCCTGTGAAGATGTTAACAAAGGAACAAGTCTCACACTTGTGGTTTTGTCAGCTTTAATTGATCATTATAGCTAACATTTCCATCTATTGATTCACATGATTACTTTCTGTGTTAAAGGAGGTGGCAATTGTCAGTCAAGTGTTTGTCAGGCTTCATTCTAGGTTCAGTGAAGTTCCTTCACTAGCACTTTCAACAATCTGCCAATGGAAAATGTAAAGAAGGCATTTTAGGTTGGTTGTCACTCACATTACTAGATGTCAATGTTCTCCACAACGATCACGTCACTCTCCGATCTCCTGGCGTACACCATGCTCGCCATGGCAACCACGAACATGACTGCCGCCAAGCTCATGGACACGGCCATCACCACTGTGGAGGTGTTGGTGGTCTCCTGGCTGGGTGATACTACGGCACTCTTCTCGGACTGATGGACAGCAGAACGAGGGAGGGGCTGGGTCTCCAGCAGTGCAGACACGTCTGAAGAGGACTTGGTTTAGAACCGAGTGAGAGGTCAAGGTAGTCTAATCCCAGATCTGTTTCTCTGTCTTGCCAACTGCTATAGTCATTGTGATCACAGGACTTAGTAAGAATGCATAAACAGATCTAGGGCTACGGAACGATTGGGAATGTCTACAGTATGGTTAAGATCCTTCTCCAGTGATGAGAACGTAATGCCTGGCGTCGTCTCCTTTGATGAAGTTCCTGCTCTTCATCCTGCCGTGGGTGAGATAGCTGCTGGTTCCGGTACCGGGCCCGCGGTAGAATTGGCTGCCGTCAGAACCGTTCACCAGACTGCCCACCTTACGGGGGTTGTCCCAGTAGAACTCATTGCCTGGGGGAGAGAAGGGAAAATCTCCTTCAAGGGAAACCATTTGTCTTCTCTCTGATTTCAGGTTCTCCCACACCTCTGTCTCCCTAACTGTTTCTAGTCTCTATTATCACGCTCGTCTCAGATTGGAGAACCTTGCAGCTTCTATGAAGGACAGAGAGCCAATGACATGCTATTATTCGGGGCTTTCTGTAAGCATTTTTTGTGTAAGCATTCTCACAATCTGAGGACAGCTTGTTTGGGTCGGTGGCGATCATGCGGTGGTTGGACATTCTCTGTCTGATGTCCAGGTTCTGGTCCATCAGGGCCATGGTGGCCTGTTGCCATGGACAGGGCCAGGTGAGGGAGTCGTCTTTAGGGCCGGAGGTTAGGTGGAAGTAGATGGCCATGCTACCTGGGCTGCTGCGGCCGTTGATGTACACGCTCACCTAGGTAGTTCCATTATTACCAGGCCAGGACAGACGTATTCAAATGCAGAAAGGGAAAGGGGGATACCTAGTCAGTTGTACAACTGAAATGTGTCTTCCGCATTTAACCCAACCACTCAATCAGAGAAGTGCAGGGGGCTGCCTTAATCGATGTTCACGTCATCAGCGCCCGGGGAGCAGTTGTTGTTGGGGGTTAACTGCCTTGCTCAACGGTAGAACGGTAGATTTTTCCAATTTGCCGGCTCGGGGATTCAAACCAGCGACCTTTAGGTTACTGGAACCAACGCTCTTAACCGCTAGGCTACCTGCCGCCCCGGAGGACAGCTTCCCAAAATAAACAAATTCATGGCACCAGCGTCATTGCAAGGATTGCTGGTCCCTTTGTTAAATTCTACCACATTTATGAAAAGAGTTATGGGATATTAGAATATTCACATCTCAACCTTTTTACTATAGTGACCTTGACACTCACCAGGAAGGAGTATCCAATGGGGGACAGGAAGCGCGGCCTGTAGATTTTCACACCTGTCGGTGTGGTGCTAGGAGACTGGTGAAGTCACGGATGCGCCAGATGTGCTGCGGGCAGGTCGTCTCTGATAGGTTGATGTCATCCAATGAGAGCCCTCCAGTGGATGCCCCTGTGCCCTTCAAGCCTTCAAACACAACCCAGAACTTCATCTTCACATCCAGGGTCACATGGTACAGCTCCCAGGAGTCTCTGACGCCACCTGTAGGACAGAAGGAAACAGACATCCACACAAACCGTATATACTTACTCTCTATACCCCTTCAATTCAAATCTGGACCTCGAAGCCAGCTCCTCTGCTTTTTAAAATTCTTCCCCTTTGTAATCAGGGACTGATTAAGACCTAGTACACCAGGTGGTTGCAATTAATTATCAGGAAGAACAGAAAACCAGCAGTAGTCCGGACCTCGTAGGGTAAGATTTGAATACCCTTGCTCAATACTATTGTACACCCAACAAGGGAAAGGGGGATACCTAGTCAGTTCTACAACTGAATGCATTCAACGTAAATGTGTCTTCCACATTTAACCTAACCCTTCTACTGTTGTACAACATTGTTTTGTATGAGCTGAGATGTGATATCAAACCTGTGATATCGATTTTCTGGATGAGCCTCAGTTTTCCTTTGGGATTGGCGTCGTCATGCTCCCGTACCCACACGTTCAGTTGATCATCGGCACCCCCGCTGTTGTGGAGGTAGAACTGCAAGCACTGGGAACCTCGCATTGAGTAGAAGAGACTACTCTCCAGGTGGGCCTGGTCACCATGGTTACCCTTAACCGTGCTGAAGTGCATGAAATAGCCTTTTCCTGGAAACAGAAACAAAACATTTAAGTGAGACAAACTGATTATGGTCGGAAAGATCAAGAAATATGTATATTCTGTAATGGGAAACAATTTTTCATATTTTATGAAATCAATTAGAATATTACTGATATCGCCTTCAAAAATATTTTATCATTATGGTGCTACAGGGTACTTCAATGTTGTGATCCTCTGAGAACTAATCAACCAAAGTCCCTCCACTGAATCTTTAGAGACAAACAAACATGTTGGAGGGCATTGACCTTCCTGGCCTTTCTCTTTATCACTTTAGAAGATAAGTAGATGTGCCACTATGGCACAATTATCATGTTACACTAGGACTATGGACTATGGACCTTGCATCACAGTAAAGTGTGTGTGTGTGCGTATGCTTCTGTGTGTGTATGCGTGTGTATATCTTACCCTCACACTGGCCCATGTTGGTGTAGTCGGTGTTGGGTCCCCCAGCCACACTGTGTCTGTGTTCCCACTGAGCCTTCCCACCAGGACCCTGGATCATCCCACAGATATTCTCCTTCTCAAAGCTGCACGAGTCCAGGAATGTTGAGGAAGTTGCTGTGGAGAGAGGGATATGGGGTGACAGAGAGGGAAGGTCAGCATTAATCTATGAAAGTATGAATCAAGAAACCAATAAAAACACTTCTGTAGATAATATACTACCTGGCTGGACAATCCTTATCTAATCACCTTCATTAGCTAGATATTTATTAGATATTTATCAAGTAAAAGCATTAACTAAAGGTCAGTCTGATGAACTCCTGAGTTACAGTAAATTATTGGCTGATTGATTGATTGATCATCTGAATTTTGATTGATATTGATTGACAGGTGAGGACTCACTGCAGTTGTAGAGCCTGTTGAGTTTCAGCAGGTCAGTGTTGCTGAACTCCATGCGTTGACCAATCACATCCATGAAGCTCGGTATCTTAGTAATGATGGAGGGCTCTGACCCAATGTTGAAGGCTGTTTTACTATAGTGCATCACAGAGCCGTAGTCATAGGGCACGTTCAGAGCACTCGACACTGACTCGCCATGGATCAGGAAGTTATGGTATTTTCCTAAAAAGGGAAATAATACAATGTTTAGTCAATGAAATGTACATGTATAAAGTACATTTAGTTGGTGACACACCAGCAGATTGATTCAGTAGACAACTACAGACAATGAGACTATATGTAAATAATCTCTAACATACTATAAACTAGAATATGGTGGTGATCTTATCTTATTAATACAGATTTATTGATTGATTGCTACCTTCTTCGATGCGGTCCCACATGATGTTGACATAGTCATCGCGGTCGGCTCTGGACTGCTCGTGCCAGAAACCCAGAGCATGCAGAAACTCATGCTCAACCGTTGCCAGACGGTCACAGTTACGACCAATAGACAACCTCTGCTTCCCCACCTGCCTGTTACCTACTGAGGAGTAGCACCTAAAGAGAGCGAGAGGGAGAGAGAAAGAAAGTGAGATATGGAAAATGGAGTGGTGAAGTGTGGAAGAATGAACAGATATAATTTATAATTGTTTGAAAATGTGTTGGCTTCTGACATTGGGGCGTTTGTGTGTGTGTGTGTGTGTGTGTGTGTGTGTGCGTGTGTTCACCCGGTGCCTTTGAACACAGCTATATAGTTCTCCTCTCCCTTCCATGGGACGAAGTTGATGCAGGTCTTCAGTCTGTACTGCTCAAAGGCCTTCAGAATCACCCCCTTAGCATTTATGTCTACATACGTGCACACACACAGAGAGAGAGAGAAATATACACTGCTCAAAAAAATAAAGGGAACACTTAAACAACACAATGTAACTCCAAGTCAATCACACTTCTGTGAAATCAAACTGTCCACTTAGGAAGCAACACTGATTGACAATAAATGTCACATGCTGTTGTGCAAATGGAATAGACAACAGGTGGAAATTATAGGCAATTAGCAAGACACCCCCAATAAAGGACTGGTTTTGCAGGTGGTGACCACAGACCACTTCTCAGTTCCTATGCTTCCTGGCTGATGTTTTGGTCACTTTTGAATGCTGGCGGTGCTTTCACTCTAGTGGTAGCATGAGACGGAGTCTACAACCCACACAAGTGGCTCAGGTAGTGCAGCTCATCCAGGATGGCACATCAATGCGAGCTGTGGCAAGAAGGTTTGCTGTGTCTGTCAGCGTAGTGTCCAGAGCATGGAGGGGCTACCACGAGACAGGCCAGTACATCAGGAGACGTGGAGGAGGCCGTAGGAGGGCAACAACCCAGCAGCAGGACTGCTACCTCCGCCTTTATGCAAGGAGGAGCAGGAGGAGCACTGCCAGAGCCCTGCAAAATGACCTCCAGCAGGTCACAAATGTGCATGTGTCTGCTCAAACGGTCAGAAACAGACTCCATGAGGGTGGTATGAGGGCCCGACGTCCACAGGTGGGGGTTGTGCTTACAGCCCAACACCATGCAGGACGTTTGGCATTTGCCAGAGAACACCAAGATTGGCAAATTCGCCACTGGCGCCCTGTGCTCTTCACAGATGAAAGCAGGTTCACACTGAGCACGTGACAGACGTGACAGAGTCTGTAGACGCTGTGGAGAACGTTCTGCTGCCTGCAACATCCTCCAGCATGACCGGTTTGGCGGTGGGTCAGTCATGGTGTGGGGTGGCATTTCTTTGGGGGGCCGCACAGCCCTCTATGTGCTCGCCAGAGGTAGCCTGACTGCCATTAGGTACCGAGATGAGATCCTCAGACCCCTTGTGAGACCATATGCTGGTGCGGTTGGCCCTGGGTTCCTCCTAATGCAAGACAATGCTAGACCTCATGTGGCTGGAGTGTGTCAGCAGTTCCTGCAAGAGGAAGGCATTGATGCTATGGACTGGTCCGCCCGTTCCCCAGACCTGAATCCAATTGAGCACATCTGGGACATCATGTCTCGCTCCATCCACCAACGCCACGTTGCACCACAGACTGTCCAGGAGTTGGCGGATGCTTTAGTCCAGGTCTGGGAGGAGATCCCTCAGGAGACCATCCGCCACCTCATCAGGAGCATGCCCAGGCGTTGTAGGGAGGTCATACAGGCACGTGGAGGTCACACACACTACTGAGCCTCATTTTGACTTGTTTTAAGGACATTACATCAATGTTGGATCAGCCTGTAGTGTGGTTTTCCACTTTAATTTTGAGGGTGACTCCAAATCCAGACCTCCATGGGTTGATACATTTGATTTCCATTGATCATTTTTGTGTGATTTTGTTGTCAGCACATTCAACTATGTAAAGAAAAAAGTATTTAATAAGATTATTTCATTCATTCCGATCTAGGATGTGTTATTTTAGTGTTCCCTTTATTTTTTTGAGCAGTGTATATTTCACCATTTTATTGAATTTTGTCTCACTGATTTAAATGTATTTTTGTACAGAATTTTGTCACACTGATTTAAATGTATTTTACAAAAGCAATGTTTGAAGTATTGAAGTGTACTATTTCTCACCCAGGCTGTCCTCCAGGTAGTAGGGTACTGTCTGAGGCCAGCGATACTGCTCCCCTAGGATGGTGTTTCTGCTGTCAGTCTAAACAGCGAGAACCACACACTCTCAATCAGACCAATCAGACACAACACCCTTATGGTGATCACTGATGACCAGATATTATTGGCAGGCTATGAGAAATCCATATTATTATTCAAGTAAAAGAAAAGATGAGCTGTCAAACTCACCTCATCTATCACGATATCACCATCCACCAGGTCCAATCCTGCCTCTGCAAATTAACACACGAGCATTAGACGATCAGCACACAGAGATACTGTCTATACACACAATCATGTTATAAAGTTATTTTCTTACATACCTTTATTGATGTCAAAGATGTCCCAGTCGTGTCCGTGTCCCTCATCCACATCAGTCTCTGCAGGCGAGAGAATGTCCAAATCAACCGCAGCACACAATTGCTTGACATTATTTCTACCACCACTCTGAGTCATAGTTATGAACAACAACAATAAGAGGTTTCACTCACCTGTTTCACCTGTGAGCCGGGATGCTGCTGACTACAGCAGGCAATAAACAAACAAGAAAACAGATAAATAATTAAGGAAAATAAAACAGTGTAATGCAACAGGTCTGCACTAAAATGTAACAAGATTAGAAATGTGACTACACAAAACAGAGAAAAAAATTAAATAAAAAAATGTTACACAATTATGACAAATACAGTAACTATGTATCAGGCACTACAAAAATACAATTGGTCAGAGCAATGTAATGTAATTTAGGTAATGTAATGTGTTACATGAAATTACATTAGTGATGGAATGGGAAACTTACCAAGCACCAGAGCATACTGAAGACCAGAACAATCCCTTTAGAAGGCATGGCTCTAGGACTGCCGGTAATCACAAGCACAAGAAGAGAAAATGAACAAACTGCAAGGCTTGCAGGATTGTGCAGATTGCATAACATTTATGGTTTGAGATAAAATATCTTAAATAGCTGTCAAATGTATTATTATTGATTGTTTAATAGTCCCCATTAGCTTATGTAAGTGTTACAGGAACATTAATGTACACGCACAAAGGTAAGCACGCACACACGCACGCACACACACACACACACACGCACGCACACACACACACACACACACACACACACACACACACACACACACACACACACACACACACACACACACACACACACACACACACACGTGCATAATGTTGTCTTCAAGGATGAGTGCTTAATATTCTTACCCATTTAAAGTTTGAGAATAGGTTGAGATCGTTTCGGCCCCAAGACCTCTAATCATTCGCTTTACCAGATAAAACTGCGAGACTTCTAGCGCCAGCTATCCTGAGGGAAACTTCGGAGGGAACCAGCTACTAGATGGTTCGACTAGTCTTTCACCCCTATACCCAGGTCGGACGACCGATTTGCACCAGAGTTTCCTCTGGCTTCGCCCTGCCCAGGCATAGTTCACCATCTTTCGGGTCCTATCGCACGCGCTCACGCTCCACCTCCCCAACAGAGCGGGCGAGACGGGCCGGTGGGGATCCCACCTCAGCCGGCGCGCGCCGGCCCTCACTTTCATTGCGCCACGGGGGACACACGATAGGTTTGATTTCAATATTCTTTATTATAGTCATTCTATGTCAAGAATATACAAGGATATTAAATATATGAAAAAGTACAGTACAGTCAAAAGTTTGGACACACCTACTCATTCCAGGGTTTTTCTTTATTTTTACTATTTTCTACATTGTAGAATAATAGTGAAGACATCAAAACTATGAAAGAACACTTATGGAATCATGTAGTAACCCAAAAAGTGTTAAACAAATCAAAATATATTTTATATTTGAGATTCTTCAACGTAGCCACCCTTTGCATTGATGACAGCTTTGCACACACTTGGCATTCTCTCAACCAGCTTCATGAGGTAGTCACCTGGAATGCATTTCAATTAACAGGTGTGCCTTCTTAAATGTTAAGTTGTGGAATTTCTTTCCTTTTTAATGTGTTTGAGCCAATCAGTTGTGTTGTGACAAGGTAGGGGTGGTATACAGAAGATAGCCCTATTTGGTAAAAGACCAAGTCCATATTATGGCAAGAACATCTCAAATAAGCATAGAAAAACGAAAGTCCATAATTACTTTAAGACATGAAGGTCAGTCAATCCGGAAAATGTCAAGAACTTTGAACGTTTCTTCAAGTGCAGTCGCAAAAACCATCAAGCGCTATGATGAAACTGGCTCTCATGAGGACCACCACAGGAAAGAAAGACCCAGAGTTACCTCTGCTGCAGAGGATAAGTTAATTAGAGTTAACTGCACCTCAGATTGCAGCCCAAATAAATGCTTCACAGAGTTCAAGTAACAGACACATCTCAACATCAGCTCTTCAGAGGAGACTGCGTGAATCTGGCCTTCATGGTCGAATTGCTGCAAAGAAACCACTACTAAAGGACACCAATAAGAAGAGACTTGCTTGGGCCAAGAAACACAAGCAATGGACATTAGACCGTTGGAAATCTGTCCTGTGCTCTGATGAGTCCAAATTTGAGACTTCTGGTTCCAACCACCGTGTCTTTGTGAGATGCAGAGTAGGTGAACGGATGATGTCCGCATGTGTGGTTCCAACAGTGAAGCATGGAGGGGGAGGTGTGATGGTGTGGGGGTGGTTTGCTGGTGACACTGTGATTTATTTAAAATTCAAGGCACACTTAACCAGCATGGCTACCACAGCATTCTGCAGCGATACACCATCCCATCTGGTTTGCGTTTAGTGGGACTATAATACATTTTTTCAATAGGACAATGACCCAAAACACACCTCCAGGCTGTCTAAGGGCTATTTGTCCAAGAAGGAGAGTGATGGAGTGCTGCATCAGATGACCTGGCCTCCACAATCACCCAACCTCAACACAATTGTGATGGTTTGTGAAGGAAAAGCAGCCAACAAGTGCTCAGTATATGTGGGAACTCATTCAAGACTGTTGGAAAAGCATTCCTCATGAAGCTGGTTGAGAGAACGCCAAGAGTGTGCAAAGCTGTCATCAAGGCAAAAGGTGGCTACTTTGAAGAATCTAAAATATATTTTGATTTATTTAACACTTTTTTGGTTACTACATGATTCCATATGTGTTATTTCATAGTTTTGATGTTTTCACTATTATTCTACAATGTAGAAAACAGTAAAAATAAAGAAAAACCCTGGAATGAGTAGGTGTGTCCAAACTTTTGACTGGTACTGTAGGTAAGCACGCATGCACGCACACACACACACACACACACGTGCATAATGTGCTTAATATAATCCTCCAGGACACACGATAGGTTTGATTTCAATATTCTTTATTATAGTCATTCTATGTCAAGAATATACAAGGATATTAAATATATGAAAAAGTATATCAAAGCTGATATCGAAAAGATCCATTATAGTTGATACATTCGATAGATGCAGTAAACAGGGCATGATTTTATACATTCAAAAGGAAGAAAAGAACAGCTGCAACAATCAACATGTTCGACAACATTGCCATTTTTACAAAGGCTTCTGTGAGCAGCTTTAGCATCAAAATATACAAATCATGATGAGTGTGTTATTGCTATATTGCTAGATTATTGATGTTGTATCTGATATTCATCTGGGATTCAGGTTGGCATCCCGGAGAGACTCAATAATGGCATCTTGCAAGTTCAACGTGTCGGTTTGATTGATGTTCTGTGGACCAAAGAAACATCTTATTAGTGTGTGTGTGTGTCTGTGTGTGTGTGTGTGTGTGTGTCTGTGTGTGTGTGTGTGTGTGTATGTGTGTAGCCTACCGTGTAGTCCTTGGTATAGTAGCAGTGTCTCAGGTTCAAATGTATGATGAAGTCCCTGCTGATTTGGTTTGGATTACCGTGAGGCAGAGAGGCACACACTGGACACACCTAGAGGATGCCAGAGAGCAACAATCACTCAGAGCAACAAAGTTTCAGCCCAAGTGGCCAACAACTCCCTAGGAGTAGAGACTATGGACGAGGAATCCCTGGAGGCAGTGACACGTGTTACTAAGTGGACTATCTTGGTTAAATAAACATTTAATTGAATAAACTCATGTTTGAGACCCAGTGATTGAGAGTAACTGATGACACAACTGACAGCTTTATAGCGATTTATAACAGATATATCACTGACCACGGGCCTGTTGTCATACTGATGCTTGCCATTGCAGTGAACCCACAGATCCCTCTCATCCAGACCACTCTCCTGGCAGTACGGACAGACAAACGTCATCCTCATCACAGAACTGAGAGAGAGAGAGCGGGAGAACAGACCGACAGAGAGACAGAGAGAGAGAGAGTGAGAAACGGACAGAGACAGACAGACAGAGACAGACAGTGAGAGAGAGAGAGTTAGATGGAGACAGACAGACAGACAGACAGACAGACAGACAGAGAGAGGGTAGAAACAGACAGACAGAGAGACAGAGAGACAGACAGACAGAGTGAGAGTGAGATGGAGACAGACAGACAGAGAGAGAGAGTGAGATACAGACAGACAGACACATACAGAGAGTGAGATACAGACAGACAGACAGAGAGAGAGAGTGAGATACAGACAGACACATACAGAGAGTGAGATAAAGACAGACAGACAGACAGACAGACAGACAGACAGACAGACAGACAGACAGACAGACAGACAGACAGACAGAGTGAGATACAGACAGACAGTGAGTGAGATACAGACAGACAGACAGAGAGTGATATAGACAGACAGAGAGTGAGATACAGACAGACAGAGAGTGAGATAGACAGACAGACAGAGAGATTTACAGACCAGACAGCACAGGATTGAGATCGAGGACAGGACAGGAGAGTTGGAGATACAGACAGGACAGGAGTTGAAACACAGACAGGACAGAGAGGTGAGATACAGACAGACAGAGAGTGAGATACAGACAGAAAGACAGTGAGATACAGACAGACAGAGAGTGAAATACAGACAGACAGAGAGTGAGATACAGACAGGACAGGAGAGTTGGAGATACCAGGAACAGAAAGACAGTGAGATACAGACCAGACAGAGAGTGAGATTTACGACCAGACAGAGAGAGTGGGAGAGACAGACAGACAGACAGAAACAGACAGGACAGGACAGGACAGCGTTGAGTGAAGAGAGACAGGACAAGGACAGGACAGGACAGAAAGAGTGATTAAGGGAACAGACAGAGAGTCAGGAGTGAAGATTAACAGACCGAGTGAGATGCAGCCAGACAGACAGAGAGAACAGAGGAGTGGAGATACAGACAGAACAGACAGACCCACAGGAACAGGGAGAGTGAGATCTAGACAAGACAGACAGTGAGATAAACAGACAGACAGGGACAGACAAGAGAGTGAGATTACCAGGACAGAAGACAGAGAGTGGGTTGAGATTTTACAGACAGCAGACAGGGGAGTTCAGAGAGTGAGATACAGAACCACAGACGTGAGATTTAACAGACAGGACAGACAGACAGACAGAGAGACAGACAGACAGAGAGTGAGATACAGACAGACATAGAGAGAGTGAAATACAGACAGACAGACAAAGAGAGTGAGATACAGACAGACAGACAGAGAGACAGAGAGACAGACAGACAGAGTGAGAGACAGACAGACAGAGTGAGAGACAGACAGACAGACAGACAGAGTGAGAGAGACAGACAGACAGACAGAGAGAGTGAGAGACAGACAGACAGACAGAGAGAGTGAGAGACAGACAGACAGACAGAGAGAGTGAGAGACAGACAGACAGACAGAGAACAGAGTGAGACACAGACAGATAGACAGACAGAAAGAGTGAGAGACAGACAGACAGACAGACAGAGTGAGAGACAGACAGACAGACAGACAGAGAGTGAGAGACAGACAGACAGAGAGTGAGATACAGACAGAAAGACAGTGAGATACAGACAGACAGAGAGTGAGATACAGACAGACAGAGAGAGTGAGAGAGACAGACAGACAGACAGACAGACAGACAGAGTGAGAGAGACAGACAGACAGACAGACAGACAGTGAGAGACAGACAGACAGACAGAGAGTGAGAGACAGACAGAGAGTGAGAGACAGACAGTCAGAGAGAGTGAGATACAGACAGACAGAGAGAGTGAGATACAGACAGACAGATAGACAGACAGACAGATCAAGACAGACAGACAGAGAGTGACGAGACAGACAGAGAGTGAGAGACAGACAGTGAGAGACAGACAGACAGAGAGTGAGAGACAGACAGACAGAGAGTGAGATACAGACAGAGACAGAGTGAGATACAGACAGAGACAGAGTGAGATACAGACAGAGACAGAGTGAGTTACAGACCAGACAGACAGCGTGAGAGACACAGCACAGATAGAGAGACAGAGAGTGAGATACAGACAGAGAGACAGACAGAGAGTGAGAGACAGCCAGACAGAGAGTGAAAGACAGCCAGACAGAAAGTGAGAGACAGCCAGACAGACAGAGAGTGAGAGACAGACAGACAGACAGAGAGTGAGAGACAGACAGACAGACAGAGAGTGAGATACAGACAGACAGACAGAGAGTGAGATACAGACAGACAGACAGAGAGTGAGATACAGACAGACAGACAGAGAGTGAGATCCAGACAGACAGACAGAGAGAGTGAGATCCAGACAGACAGACAGACAGACAGAGAGAGTGAGATCGAGACAGACAGACAGACAGAGAGTGAGATACAGACAGACAGACAGACAGACAGACAGACAGACAGACAGACAGACAGAAGAGAGTGAGATACAGACAGACAGACAGACAGAGAGAGAGTGAAATACAGACAGACAGAGAGACAGACAGACAGAGAGACAGAGAGAGAGTGAGAGACAGACAGACAGAGAGAGTGAGAGACAGACAGAGAGAGTGAGAGACAGACAGACAGACAGAGAGAGTGAGAGACAGACAGAGTGAGAGACATACAGACAGACAGAGTTAGAGACAGACAGACAGACAGACAGACAGACAGAGAGTGAGAGACAGACAGACGGACAGACATAGTGAGAGACAGACGGACAGACAGAGAGTGAGAGGACAGGAGCAGTCAGAGAGAGTGAGATTACAGACAGCCAGAGAGAGTGAGATACAGACAGGACAAGATAGACAGACAGATCAAGACAGACAGACAGAGAGTGAGGATCCAGACAGACAGACAGGAGGGGGACAGTGAGAGGACAGGACAGAACAGTGCGGAGACGACAGACAGACAGTGAGAGACAGACAGACAGGAGGACGAGAGTGAGAAGGACAGGACAGACAGACAGAGGTGAGATACAGAAGAAGAGAGTGAGATACAGACAGAGACAGAGTGAGATACAGACAGACAGACCAGACAGAGTGAGATACAGACAGACAGATAGTGAGAGACAGACAGAGAGAGTGAGAGACAGACAGAGTGAGAGACAGACAGACAGAGAGACGGACAGAGAGACGGACAGAGAGACGGACAGAGAGTGAGATACAGACAGAGAGACAGACAGACAGAGAGTGAGATCCAGACAGACAGACAGACAGACAGACAGACAGAGAGTGAGATACAGACAGACAGACAGAGAGAGAGAGTGAAATACAGACAGACAGAGAGACAGACAGACAGACAGACAGAGAGAGAGTGAGAGACAGACAGACAGAGAGAGTGAGAGACAGACAGAGAGAGTGAGAGACAGACAGACAGAGAGAGTGAGAGACAGACAGAGTGAGAGACATACAGACAGACAGAGTGAGAGACAGACAGACAGACAGACAGAGAGTGAGAGACAGACAGACGGACAGACAGAGAGTGAGAGACAGACGGACAGACAGAGAGTGAGAGACAGACAGACAGAGAGTGAGATACAGACAGAGACAGAGTGAGATACAGACAGAGACAGAGTGAGATACAGACAGAGACAGAGTGAGTTACAGACAGACAGACAGAGTGAGAGACAGACAGACAGATAGAGAGACAGAGAGTGAGATACAGACAGAGAGACAGACAGAGAGTGAGAGACAGCCAGACAGAGAGTGAAAGACAGCCAGACAGAAAGTGAGAGACAGCCAGACAGACAGAGAGTGAGAGACAGACAGACAGACAGAGAGTGAGAGACAGACAGACAGACAGAGAGTGAGATACAGACAGACAGACAGAGAGTGAGATACAGACAGACAGACAGGAGTGAGAGACAGACAGAACAGACCGGAGAGGAGATCCAGACAGACAGACAGAGAGAGTGAGATCCAGACAGACAGACAGACAGACAGAGAGAGTGAGATCCAGACAGACAGACAGAGAGTGAGATACAGACAGACAGACAGACAGACAGACAGACAGACAGACAGACAGACAGACAGACAGACAGACAGACAGACAGACAGACAGACAGACAGAGAGTGAGATACAGACAGACAGACAGACAGAGAGAGAGTGAAATACAGACAGACAGAGAGACAGACAGACAGAGAGACAGAGAGAGAGTGAGAGACAGACAGACAGAGAGAGTGAGAGACAGACAGAGAGAGTGAGAGACAGACAGACAGACAGAGAGAGTGAGAGACAGACAGAGTGAGAGACATACAGACAGACAGAAGGAGTGAGAGACAGACGGACAGACAGAGAGTGAGAGACAGACGGACAGACAGAGAGTGAGAGACAGACAGTCAGAGAGAGTGAGATACAGACAGACAGAGAGAGTGAGATACAGACAGACAGATAGACAGACAGATCAAGACAGACAGACAGAGAGTGAGAGACAGACAGACAGACAGAGAGTGAGATACAGACAGACAGAGAGTGAGATACAGACAGAGACAGAGTGAGATACAGACAGACAGACAGACAGAGTGAGATACAGACAGACAGATAGTGAGAGACAGACAGAGAGAGTGAGAGACAGACAGAGTGAGAGACAGACAGACAGAGAGACGGACAGAGAGACGGACAGAGAGACGGACAGAGAGTGAGATACAGACAGAGAGACAGACAGACAGAGAGTGAGATCCAGACAGACAGACAGACAGACAGACAGACAGACAGAGAGTGAGATACAGACAGACAGACAGAGAGAGAGTGAAATACAGACAGACAGAGAGACAGACAGACAGACAGACAGAGAGAGAGTGAGAGACAGACAGACAGAGAGAGTGAGAGACAGACAGAGAGAGTGAGAGACAGACAGACAGAGAGAGTGAGAGACAGACAGAGTGAGAGACATACAGACAGACAGAGTGAGAGACAGACAGACAGACAGACAGAGAGTGAGAGACAGACAGACGGACAGACAGAGAGTGAGAGACAGACGGACAGACAGAGAGTGAGAGACAGACAGACGGACAGAGAGTGAGATAGAGACAGACAGACACAGACAGACAGACAGTGGGATAGAGACAGACAGAGAGAGAGTGAGATCGAGACAGACAGACAGACAGAGAGTGAGATCGAGACAGACAGACAGACAGAGAGAGAGAGAGATACAGACAGACAGACAGACAGAGAGTGAGACAGACAGACAGACAGACAGACAGACAGACAGACAGAAAGAGAGAGAGTGAGACAGACAGACAGAGAGAGAGAGAGATACAGACAGACAGAGAGATAAAGACAGACAGACAGAGAGAGTGAGATACAGACAGACAGACAGAGAGAGTGAGATACAGACAGACAGACAGAGAGAGTGAGATACAGACAGACAGACAGACAGAGTGAGATACAGACAGACAGACAGAGAGAGAGTGAGATACAGACAGACAGACAGAGAGAGTGAGATACAGACAGACAGACAGAGAGAGAGTGAGATAGAGACAGACAGACAGAGAGAGTGAGATACAGACAGACAGACAGGACAGACAGACAGACAGACAGACAGACAGAGACAGAGAGACAGATACAGACAGATACAGACAGACAGAGTGAGATACAGACAGACAGACAGACAGACAGACAGAGAGTGAGATACAGACAGACAGACAGACAGACAGACAGACAGACAGACAGACAGACAGACAGACAGACAGACAGAGGGAACAGACAGACAGAGTGTGAGATCCAGACAGACAGATAGAGTGAGATCCAGACAGACAGACAGACAGAGAGTGAGATACAGACAGACAGAGTGTGAGATCCAGACAGACAGATAGAGTGAGATCCAGACAGACAGACAGATAGAGTGAGATCCAGACAGACAGACAGATAGAGTGAGATCCAGACAGACAGACAGACAGAGAGTGAGATACAGACAGACAGACAGACAGACAGACAGACAGACAGACAGACAGACAGACAGACAGACAGACAGACAGACAGACAGTGAGTGAAATACAGACAGACAGACAGACAGAGAGAGACAGACAGAGAGAGTGAGAGACAGACAGACAGAGAGTGAGAGACAGACAGACAGTGAGAGACAGACAGACAGACAGACAGACAGACAGACAGACAGACAGACAGACAGACAGACAGAGTGAGAGTGAGAGACAGACAGACAGACAGAGAGTGAGAGACAGACAGACAGACAGAGAGTGAGAGACAGACAGAGATTGAGAGACAGACAGACAGAGACAGACACAGAGTGAGCGTTGGAGAGGAAAATAAAAATGTAATACTGTAGTTGTATATCTTGAAGACAAGGGTAAATATTCACTCTTAACCGATACATTCTTACCTCGCTAACTGGCCTTGCAGGCCCGGCAAGTTTTCATACAAGTCACTGAAAATAGAACATGATCAGGTTTCTCATGATGAGTCTGCAGTAGTCAACAATGAGCAGCAAATATGCAGTATAACAATCTAATGTACTCTAATCACCACACAAGCACACTTATGCAAACGTACAGACCAATGGTGACTTTGACTTACCCATCATCCGTGAAGGAGAGGGATGGAGGAGCAGCCAGTACTGGGGGAGCAGGGGTAGAGGTAGAGGGCATGGAGGTGGGTCTTTGAGCTGCGGAAGGTGTGTGCTGAGGGATGGCGAAAGGCTGTTGTCCTGGGGCGGAGAGAGCCCTGGTGCGGGGTGTGGGGGTGGGTTTAGATCTGATGGTAGGTGTCAGTGTGATGGCAGGTATGGTAGTTGGGGTTGTAGGTGCGGGTAGAGTAGTGGCACCTGTTGGAGTGACTGTGGGGCCAGGTGTTTGAGTCATAGACATATATAGGTCTACATCATTGGTTGGGGCAGGAGGAGTGATGGTAGGTAGGGTGGCAGGTGGGGTGGCAGGTGGGCTGGTAGGTGCAGTAGTGCCAGCTGTTGGAATGACTGTGGGGGCAGGTCTACGAGTCATAGACATATATAGGTCTACATCATTGGTTGGAGCAGGAGGAGTGATGGAGGAAGAGAGTGGTCTGTGGAGGGGTCTTGGGGCGGGAGGGGGAGGGGCTGTGGTGACAGCTGGGGTCTGATTGGCCAGGCTCCTTCCTTCTGTCTTTGAGGCTATTTGCAGCAGTCTGATATAGCTAAAAAAGAAACATTAAGTATTCAATTGGTCAACCTTTAGGTCATTATTGAGACTGTCAATGCATGAATTGTAAACCTCTGAATTTAATGCTAAAATACGTCATGCACACCCAGGGTCTCGATGTGGTTCTGTTGTACTTGGCTGTGTTTGGCTGTGTGTGTTTGGCTGTATCTGGACCAGTAAGTCATTCACCTCTGGACGTCACCTGCCACAGATCTTGTTGCTGGGGTGGAAAGCCCTGACAAGCCTGGTAGAGGTTGACCCAACCTGATGACCATGACCCTCGTCTTGACTCTGACAGGCCTGATGTCATCAACCCGCGCCTCAGCTCTGCACACAGGGCAGTGGGGTATCGACATTAGAGAACGGGTCAGACATTGGCGGCAGAACCTGGAACACACACACACACAAAACAGAAGATTGAGTTTTACAGTGCATCATTCAATGAAATGCATAAGCAACATGCACAACTATGGTTATTGACCATTGATAAAGTGGCACATTCTTCAGTCATGAAGTAAACACTTACAGGAAGAATTAAACCTGTTCTGTGAGAAGCTGCGATTGACTAACTGCAGCTATGTCATAAATCCAGACTACACTGATCGTAAGTGTGGAAGGGAAAGGTTAAAGAACTCTCATCCACATTCTAATAGGCTACTTCTGATTGCTATTAAGACAAGAGTTTAACATAGGGGTGCGTGTGGTAAGTTGAGCCACCTTTGTTTCTAGGAAACTATACTCAACATTTATAATTTGACCAAATATTTAGGAAGAGTTCATCATTTCATAAGTCTTAATATGAGGTCCTAAACCTAGCATGATAGTGCATCCTTGTAGCTGTGTGGGCTAATATAGTCTAAATGTTTGTCTTTGGTCAAGTTAAGCCAATGGTCTAGCCACAGGGAAGTTAGGCAAATTGAAGTGTAACATGTTGTTATGTTAAAAGTGTTTGTTAGGTGTTAAGCCTGTGCCAAAAGATGCTTAATATTATTAAAAGACAAAAAAGCGATTGTGATTGTGTTGAATTGTGTTTGGGAAATAAAGATAGACATGGATTTAAAAAGGTAGTGGTAATATTTCATTCAGTACAGACATTTGTAGACGGCTTAACTTACCCTGTCCCGTGGCTCAACATACCTGGGGTAAGTTGTGCCTAGAGACCAGAAGCTATGTTTTCAAAACTGGAATGTTTACAGTTGAAGTCGGAAGTTTACATACACCTTAGCCAAATACATTTAAACTCTGTTTTTCACAATTCCTGACATTTAATCCTAGTAAAAATTCCCTGTCTTAGGTCAGTTTGGATCACCACTTTATTTTAAGAATGTGAAATGTCAGAATAATAGTAGAGAATTATTTATTTCAGCTTTTGTTTCTTTCATCACATTCCCAGTGGGTCAGAAGTTTACATACACTCAATTAGTATTTGGTAGCATTGCCTTTAAATTGTTTAACTTGGGTCAAACGTTTCGGGTAGCCTTCCACAAGCTTCCCACAATAAGTTGGGTGAATTTTGGCCCATTCCTCCTGACAGAGCTGGTGTAACTGAGTCAGGTTTGTAGGCCTCCTTGCTCGCACACGCTTTTTCAGTTCTGCCCACAAATGTTCTATAGAATTGAGGTCAGGGCTTTGTGGTGGCCACTCCAATACCTTGACTTTGTTGTCCTTAAGCCATTTTGCCACAACTTTGGAAGTATGCTTGGGGTCATTGTCCATTTGGAAGACCCATTTACGACCAAGCTTTAACTTCCTGACTGATGTCTTGAGATGTTGCTTCAATATATCCACATAATTTTCCTTCCTCATGATGCCATCTATTTTGTAATGCAATAAAATGCAAATTAATTACTTAAAAATCATACAATGTGATTTTCTGGATTTTTGTTTTAGATTCCGTCTCTCACAGTTGAAGTGTACATATGATAAAAATTACAGACCTCTACATGCTTTGTAAGTAGGAAAACCTGCAAAATCGGCAGTGTATCAAATACTTGTTCTCCCCACTATAGATACTTTTGTACCTGTTTCCTCCAGCATCTTCACAAGGTCCTTTGCTGTTGTTCTGGGATTGATTTGCACTTTTCGCACCAAAGTACGTTCATCTCTAGGAGACAGAACGCGTCTCCTTCCTGAGCGGTATGACGGCTGCGTGGTCCCATGGTGTTTATACTTGTGTACTATTGTTTGTACAGATGAACGTGGTACCTTCAGCCGTTTGGAAATTGCCCCCAAGGATGAACCAGACTTGGCTGATTTATTTTGATTTTCCCATGATGTCAAGCAAAAAGGCACTGAGTTTGAAGGTAGGCCTTGAAATACATCCACAGGTACACCTCCAATTGACTCAAATTATGTCAATTAGCCTATCAGAAGCTTCTAAAGCCATGACATCATTTTCTGAAAATTTCCAAGCTGTTTAGAGGCACAGTCAACTTAGTGTATGTAAACTTCTGACCCACTAGAAATGTGATACAGTGAATTATAAGTGAAATAATCTGTCTGTAAACAATTGTTGGAAAAATTACTTGTGTCATGCACAAAGTAGATGTCCTAACCGACTTGCCAAAACTATAGTTTGTTAACAAGAAATTTGTGGAGTGGTTGAAAAATGAGTATTAATGACTCCAACCTAAGTGTATGTAAACTTTCGACTTCAACTGTACATTAATTCTGATTATTCCCAGGTATACACAACATCCTGAAATATATGTAGATATCTTTGGTAGAAAGAATAGTACATTTCCCTTGACGGAGTGATGTAAATTGTTTTAAAAAAATCAAGTTATCCCACTCTCCCCTATGAGTATAGTATTTGGTATAGTCAGGTATTTTTTGTGAGGTGAGGAAAAATTCCCCTCAGTGTTATTTAACTGCAAGTGTGGAGGAAGTAAATAATCTGTTTATTACTTAGAGTATGAAGGCATTGGTCAAATCATAGCATATAATATTTGACAATCTGACATGCCTAAACTATACTTTAGTCTACAATCTGAGCTCATCTCAGTAGTTTATAATTTTACGCAAGTAATATTGAAAAGCGCTGTGAATGAGAAACATAAATGTTGAGTTTGTACAAAGAGGCTATTCTTTGCACTGTGCTGATGGTCTTTATTCATAGAAATAAAGAGAACTAATAGAAAATGTATTTGAGGGAGTTCCTTACACTGAAATAATTTCATTAGAGAGAATGACCTATTTGGAACTATTTGGGGTTAGAGACTGATATAACCCAACCATCAGCTCTGGGAGTTCACAGCTACAGAGTAGCTTCTGTGTAAAATTGAATCTACTTTACATTCACTCAATTTGAACAGAAAGACCTGGCTACAAATTAAGTTACAGATTAGGCTACAAACTGCAATATAACACCAGAGAATATGATAATAAAAAGAGGTTACTCACACATGAGAACAGGCATCAGGGTGATGTGGGTCCGTCAGGGTACTCCTACAGATGGGACACTCATCCTCAGATGGGGTCTGTAGGCCTGCTGCAGAGTGGGCCATACTTGGGCTGGGACAGTTGTCTCTGTCAGACAACCCGGGACAGAATTCACTAGTGTTTCTTCTCCACTATGAATAATGATGTATGGAGCAATCGATAGAGCAGCGAGGGAAACTCCAAACACAGCTGACTGTGTTCTTTACGCTCAGCCCAGATACTTTTTTGGACTGGATTTACTTCCTTTACTGAATGCACTCACTTTCCGGGAGTGGGTGTGTGTGTTTGTGTGTCACACTCACAACCAGGTTCTAGGCTAGGGCATGGGAAGGGAGTCACACCACACAGTAATAAAAAAATATAACACATTTTATTAAACAATGAGTATAGAAATGTTACACAAGCTGACAAAACACAATAGTTATCTTGCTGGCTGTCTCCAAGTCCACACAGCCAAACATAAATTGTATTCAGGTTACGTACAGCTAACACATTAACACATACCCACAGAAACTGAATAGAAGAATTGTCAACTGTGAATAGGTGTACAGTGGGGAAAAAAAAGTATTTAGTCAGCCACCAATTGTGCAAGTTCTCCCACTTAAAAAGATGAGAGAGGCCTGTAATTTTCATCATAGGTACACGTCAACTATGACAGACAAAATGAGAATTTTTTTTCCAGAAAATCACATTGTAGGATTTTTTATGAATTTATTTGCAAATTATGGTGGAAAATAAGTATTTGGTCAATAACAAAAGTTTCTCAATACTTTGTTATATACCCTTTGTTGGCAATGACACAGGTCAAACGTTTTCTGTAAGTCTTCACAAGGTTTTCACACACTGTTGCTGGTATTTTGGCCCATTCCTCCATGCAGATCTCCTCTAGAGCAGTGATGTTTTGGGGCTGTCGCTGGGCAACACGGACTTTCAACTCCCTCCAAAGATTTTCTATGGGGTTGAGATCTGGAGACTGGCTAGGCCACTCCAGGACCTTGAAATGCTTCTTACGAAGCCACTCCGTTGCCCGGGCGGTGTGTTTGGGATCATTGTCATGCTGAAAGACCCAGCCACGTTTCATCTTCAATGCCCTTGCTGATGGAAGGAGGTTTTCACTCAAAATCTCACGATACATGGCCCCATTCATTCTTTCCTTTACACGGATCAGTCGTCCTGGTCCCTTTGCAGAAAAACAGCCCCAAAGCATGATGTTTCCACCCCCATGCTTCACAGTAGGTATGGTGTTCTTTGGATGCAACTCAGCATTCTTTGTCCTCCAAACACGACGAGTTGAGTTTTTACCAAAAAGTTCTATTTTGGTTTCATCTGACCATATGACATTCTCCCAATCCTCTTCTGGATCATCCAAATGCACTCTAGCAAACTTCAGACGGGCCTGGACACGTACTGGCTTAAGCAGGGGGACACGTCTGGCACTGCAGGATTTGAGTCCCTGGCGGCGTAGTGTGTTACTGATGGTAGGCTTTGTTACTTTGGTCCCAGCTCTCTGCAGGTCATTCACTAGGTCCCCCCGTGTGGTTCTGCGATTTTTGGGATGGGGATAGGGGAACGAGAAACAAGGGTTAGGGGAAAGACTGGGGAGCAGAGGCAAGTAGGCCAAACCCTTTATACAAAGAGGCGTGGCAAAATAATGTATGGGAAGTTGTGATACCTTGAGGAAGCTTCTGTCGTCCTTTTACACTCAACAATGTGTTTATGCATATACATGAAAGGCTTGTTGTGGTATTCATTTAATTACCTGATACTCGTCTGTCCACCAAGATACCACACCTGGAACTTCAGGTTCTTGTAAGTCACAGTCTCCATGTTGAAGCCGATTACTGTACAACACAATGACAGAGATAAAACACCTTGAGCTATGAGCACACGTCAAAGAAAGGAATGACCTTTAACCATCCACTCTATTTATGACATGTGGAAAGACCATTTATTTTTGTGGAGCACACAACAATCAATTCTCCCTGAATGTACCTGGAACTAGGCAACATAACGTGCGTGAAACACCTTTCCAAGTAGAAAGAAACGAAAAACAAAAGCGTTATGTATTGGGAATGGTGGTGGCCACCTCTCCAACCTGCAGGTGGTACAGGAGGATGGTAGTTATACCAGCTCCAGTATGCAGCGATAGAAGTTCAAGTAACGCTACTGTAGTGTAATGCTACTGTAGTGATTGAGGGAGAGAAGTTGGACCAGCGTAGGGTAAAAGCACACTGGCCAATAACTATATCACTAGTATCTTTGTGTAGACCTATCCTGTTCTTTCTGTGCCATAAAGGCCCAGACCTCTTGGTAGATGTCAAGCAAGCATACAGGGATGCTACAAAGGGTTACTACTGTGTGTGCCTCTGACATGCAGTGCCTTCGGAAAGTATTCAGACCCGTTGACTTTTTCCACATTTTGTTAGGTTACAGCCTTATTCTAAAATTGGGTAAAATGTTTTTTTTCCTCATCAATCTACACACAATACCCCATAATGACAAAGCAAAAACAGATTTCTATAAATGTTTGCTAATTTATTAAAAATTAAACCCTGAAATATCACATTTACATAAGTATTCAGACCATTTACTCTGTACATTGTTGAAGCATCTTTGGCAGCGATTACAGCCTCGAGTCTTCTTGGGTATGATGCTACAAGCTTGGTACACCTGTATTTGGGGAGTTTTTCCCATTAATCTTTGCAGATCCTCTCAAGCTCTGTCAGGTTTGATGGGGAGCGTTGCTGCACAGATACTTTCAGGTCTCTCCAGAGATGTTTCTGCGTTGTCTTGGCTGTGTGCTTAGGGTCGTTGTCCCGTTGTCCCCAGTCTGAGGTCCTGAGCGCTCTAGAGACGGTTTTCATCAAGGATCTCTCTGTACATTGCTCCGCTCATTTTTGCCTCAATCCTGACTGGTCTCCCTGCCACTGAAAAACATCCCCCACAGCATGATGCTGCCACCACCATGCTTCACCGTAGAGATGGTGCCAGGTTTCCTCCAGACGTGACGCTTGGCATTCAGGCCAAAGAGTTCAATCATGGTTTCATCAGACCAGAGAATCTTATTTCTCATGGTCTGAGAGTCTTAAATGTGGAGAATGATACATTTGCATCTGTTGGCCATCAATTAGCCTATTAATTGATATGCCTATGTATAGCGGGATCACAGGCAATTCAATACCTTCACGTTTGCAAATTAGGATAAAGAAGAGTTCGCGGAGGTACTAGATCAGTTTGATAAGAAGATCGAGACATATGAACGTTATGTTTCACTGTCGTATACAACAGCAAGGTGACAAGTTTGACGTCTTTCTTACAGATTTGAAATTAAAAGCACAGACGTAATTTTGTAGACCTAACCTCATCTATGCTTCGAGATCAGATTGTGTTTGGTATAAATTACTCCAGAGTTAGAGAGAGATTGCTGCGGGAAAGTGAGTTACATTTGGACACTGCAGTAAAAATATGTCAGGCGAATGAGCTGGCACAATTTCATATTAAAACCTTTAGCTCCACACCAGCAAACACTGCTATGGACATGGAAAGCGCAGCAGTGGATTTTGTAGACAAGGACACAAGGGGGCCTATGAACAAAGGAGCCACAAGCAATATGACTTTGACCAAAAATGTGTTTTGCAAATGACAGGTATGGGAGACAAAATGTTCACACCATTGAAATGGAGGAGAATGAACAAAGTGATTTGTTTGTGGGCACTGTGGATTGCATGGAGGACGGGCAAGAACCATCACAGGTCCATAATGTAGCTAGTGACCACTGCGTTGTACCGCTCGTGGTCAATGGTACAATTTTGACCTTAAAGCTGGCTAAAGCCAACCTGATCAATATGAGGGATTTTCATGAGCTAAAGCACAAACCAGCCATCATGCAAAAGGCTGTGGTTCTCAAAGCATACAATGGCCAAGCAATTTAGACTAAAGGTTTGTGTCGGCTAACTATAAAGGGGAAACCAAGAAGCCACACACTTATATTTGTGATTGTACCAGAGGGGCATGATTCTCTTTTGGGGGATACTGTTACGGAGTGGAACCCAAGAGCAGACTCAGACGAGGAAACTGGGATGAAGTAACCAAGGTATTTATTGAGACACAGAGGGGAGATGGTCAGGGGAAACTGCTGGAAACCAGGTGCGGAGGCTGCGGCTCCCTCTCTCTCTCTGTGTGTGTGTGTGTGAGATTGGAGCGAGGGGGGTTGAGACAGGGTGAGCAGGTCCGGAGGGGAATCCCAGGGAGTACTAGAGTGGGGAACCCAGGACACAGTAGCAGGATGACGAGACGTGGGACTGGAGACAGGGACCAGAGTGAGAGCGGGCAGAACTGTAGCGGAGAGAGAAAACAGCGTCAGGCAAGGAAAACAGGCACAACAGGATCTGAATCGTAACAAACGGCTAGAACCGTAGACTGACTGAGCAGAGATTACGATCTGGCAGTGTGGAAGTGGCAGGACTGAGTATTTGTAGAGGTCTTGATTATGGAACAGGTTGCAGCTGGTGGGGATCTGCTCTCACTCCAGCACACCTGTCTCCGCCCACACAATCACACACACACACACAGAGAGAGAGAGGGAGAGGGAGAGAGTACTGGGGAGTGGCGGCAGGTCAAGGAGACACAGGATGAGCAGTAGAGGGCGTTGCAGGAGCAGATGTGACAAATACAGCATGTGAGTCATTGGGACTGGTTGAGCGAGTGTACACCATTAATGACTTTGACTGGCTGCACAGTTTTCAACGGGTGACAAGTAATCAAAATGGTGTGGAGATTGCTCAAAGATATTCTGATGTGTTAACAGGATTTGGAGCATTGCCTCTCATTCATTCTATTACTCTCACAGAGAATGCCAAGCCAGTGAGTCATGCACCACGCAGAGTTCCGGTGGCACTACGGAAGGATCTAAAGAAGGAGTTGGGAAGAATGGTGAAACTCAATGTGCTTGTGAAAACAGAGGAGCCAACAGACTGGGTCAATTCCATGGTGCGTGTTCGGAAAAGGAATGGAGATCTGAGAGTCTGTATGGACCCCAAGGACCTTAATAAATGTATCAAAAGGGAGCATTTTCAGATTCCTAAGAGGGAGGAGATAGTGTGTGAAATGGCTGGCGCACACTATTTCTCCAAATTGGATGCTTCAAATGGATTCTGGCAGGTGAGGTTGGATGCAGCCAGCACCAAACTGTGTACAGTCAATACTCCCTTTGGAAGATATTCCTTTAAGAGGTTACCTTTTGG